GCACAGGTCCACGCACACCTGGCAGTGTTGGGGGGCACACAGGTCCGTGCACACCCTGGCAGTGTTTAGGGGGGCACACAGGCGCGCACACCCTGACTTTTGGGGGACACAGGGTCCCTCTGGTGCTGGTGGCAGAGGGAGTACCTGTGCAGCCTGCCACGGGCGATCTCTGGCGTCATCTCGGGGGTCGCCGGCCCCGGCCCGCTCGGCAGCCAGCTGTCTGCAGCAGCCCCTCAGGCTGGCGGCCATGGGCGCGGGGTGCCGGAGGTCCAGGGCGCTCGGGGGTCCCGCCCGGGGTCTGCCCCCCACGCCAGGCTGCAGACCTGTGCCCCAGAGATCTGGCTTGCTAAGTCACGACCTTATGTCACCTTGAACGGCAAGCCCCAGCATCCCCGCCCAGGGCCCTCTGCGCCAAAGTCGAGGAGGGGCGCTGGGGTGCGCCAGCACGGGCCCTGGCCCACTGGCGTCCCGGGGCGTGCAGGCTCCCCGGGCCTGGTCAGGCCGTGCGGCGCTGTGGTGACCGCAGTTTCCCTTTCAGGAAGGGCAGCCCTGCCTTGCCGGCCCACCACCCCGAGCCCCACTAACATGAAGACTTCGCCTGTGGTAACTAAGTGTGGAACCAGAGGCGTTTAAAGGTGAATCACCTCGGCCAGCTGGTGGTGCCGTCCACTCCCAGGCTCCCGGCCCCGTGGGCCTTGGGGGGCCCGGCGGCAGGGGGCGCAGACTGAAAACCGCCCAGAGCCGGGGCGTCCTGGCGCTTCTCGGCAGCTGGGGACAGGGCTCCCCGGCAGTGGGGTGCTGGTGGAGGTTCCCGGTCGGGGGACCCCGCCCTGGCAGCTGCCGCCCCCCTGTGGTGCGGTGACCCTCTGCCGAGCGCGTGGCGGCGTTGCAGGTGTGATCTCTGCTTTTCATAAACTCCAGTCGTCCGTACTTACACGTTCTTGATGACGACGTGCAGCGTGGGACACTAACCGTTGGCTCTCAGGGCCACCCCAAGACGCAGCTGCGCCCACCTTCTCAGCCTGTCCTCCCACTCCCAGAGCAGCGGCCCCCCATGGCCTCCCGGAGGCCCCCCCAGGGCAGGCGACAGGCCCTGTGGCCCACAGCCTCAGCGGACATCCTGTAGTGTCCGTCCCACAGGAATAAGCCAGCAGGCGCTGGCCTCGGGACCGTGGGGAGGGACAGGACGGCAGGAGGACGGGCGAGCTGGGCCCTCGCCTGCTGCTGCTGGTGGACACGTGCCACCACAGAGCTGTGGCCGAGGGAGCCTGCTCCCCGCCTCCCAACCGCTGACTCCTCACAGGACACTGGCAAGGGACCAGGACAAAGCCAACGCCATTTGCCCCGGTTCCACACCCACCGGACGATGACGTCTGTCCCGGGCTGACCAGAAGGGCCATGGGCGCCGGGGGCTCCCAGAGCTGGCCATGCAGTGAGTGCCTGGGGTGCTCAGCAAACGGGGAGGGGCTCTGTGGGAGGGGCTCGGCCTGAGATCGGGGCCTCTGCTCCCTGAGCCCCTCCCTCTCAAGGTATGCACGCCCAAACTTCCACCTGGGGCCTTGGGCATCCCTGTGTGTGCCCTGCTTCTCTGGGGCCCACTGGAAGTCTGAGTACCAACCAATTAGACTTTGGGAAGAAGTTAAGGGGTGCAGGCCTGCCCCTCACACCTGCATCACCCCTCACTACTCACTGTTCTCATGGGCTGTGGAGAGGTGTCCTGGGTCCCCCACCCATAGCTCAGGAAACCTAGCCTGAACCCCACGTCCATGACGCCCACCCTACATGGCCGGGAACCAGTGGGAGGACACCGCACCGCAGACAGGCCCCAGTCAGAGCGGGAGAGCCCGTCTGCTCTGGCTTGGGGTCCCGGAGTTGCAGGCTGTGGAGAAGCAGGGGTGGGGGGTGGGGGTGAGGGGCCTCCCAAAGCCGCTGCTGCACGTGGGCCGGCCAGCGTTCCTTTCCCTGCCAGCTGGACCCCAGGCCTTCCCTGAACCCCTTGGGTCAGCACCGGGGAGGTCCACCACTCAGCAGCCGGCCCCAGTGGTTCTGCACTGGGGTGCCGCCTCTCGTGGCCAGGGAGGGAACGGCACGGCCTGGTGCCCTCGAGGGCCTCTGGGGGTGGAGGGTGAGGCCCGGGGGCCGGTGGGTCTCGCTGGCCTGGCCATCAGCCGCCTCCAGCTGCTGCCTTCCCTGGCCCGTCTGCCGTCTGCGGGGCCAGCAGGGCCGCCTGCCAGAGGCCCCAGAGTGGCCGAGCAGCATGGTCCTGCCGCACAGGGCGGAGCTGCGCGAGGCCACAGCCAGAGCCGGCCGGGGCACGTCTTCCCTCCTCTGCCCCGTGCTGGCCTGGGAGTGACCGGTGCAGAGCGCAGGCACCTGTGGCCCTCCGGGCCGGCCACGCTGTCTGTCCCCTCCTCGCCCGGCCTCCACCCGCCTGCCTGGATGCATCCTGACTCACCCCAGCCCCTGGCTGTGCCCCAGACATCCCTCTGCCAGCGGCACTGGGGATTATCCGGGCCCTGGTGGCCTGTCCCGGTGTGGTGCTCTCTCTCCACCCCAAGAGAAATCCCCCAAGTTTCCTCTCCACTCCACCCACTTGGGGGAAGCTGCCACACGTCCCCTCGGGAGAAGCCCCTGCAGCCCTGAGCCCTCGGCAGCCTGGTAGGGCAGCCCTGAGCGCGGCTGTTCTCCTGCCCCAGCCCTCAGAGACCTCCAAGGCGGGCGGGGCGCGGGGTGCAGGGACCCCAGGGAGGCACCCACACCCTTCCTGAGGGCTGGCGATGGGCCTGCCAGCATCTCAGGCCCTGGTGGCCTTGGCAGCGCCCCGTTGGGCCCAGAGGCCGATGCGCTGACTGAGCCCCCTGCAGCAGGGACGGCTGTGAGCCCCGGGCCCGACCAGCCTGGCCGAGGGAGCCCCAGACCCCAGGCCGCGGCCCTGCGCCCGCCTCCAGATGAACTGAGCCGCGTGGCCGCCCTGTGGTGGCAGGCCGGGCAGCCCCTGGCAGTTACCTGGACACTTATTTCTGGCCCCCAGCTGCCCTCAGCTACTATTTGGGGCCAGCAGAAGAGAATAGATTGATTTGCATCCTCCCAACCCCCTGCGCCCCGTGGCCCCCCTCCGACTTCATCTGACCCTGCCGCCCAGGAAAGCAGTTTCATTTCCCCATCAGACTTCCCAGCGGGCGGCGGGTGGGGCTGGGCCAGTTTAAAGGCAGAGGAGCGGGGGCGGGAGCAGCCAAGGCCAGGTGGAGGGGCAGGAGGGGAGGGAGGCGCCCGGCTGGGAGGCCAGGCCGCTGCCCGGGAAGCGAGACGCGCAGGGCCGGGTGAGGCGGGAGCGGCCTGGGCAGCGGTCGGCCGGGCTGGGAGCAGGCCTGCTGCAGTGGCTCTTGCCCCAGACGTCACGTCCCAGTCCCCCCGAGTCATGGCCCCATTGGGTAAGTAAGCTGGGTGGGGTCACGGGGTCGGGGCCACAGCTGGCTCTTCTGCCCACCCCGGCCCCGGCCCACCGCCGCTCCGCTCCCCAGCCTGGCGCCTCCTCGCCCTGGTGTCCGCCCTCCTCAGCCTGGTGTCCTGCCTGGAGTGGAGGGCCCACAGCCAGGACCCCTTCGAGAAGTGCATGCACGACCCTGACTACGAGCAGCTGCTCAAGGTCGTGACCCTGGGCCTCAACCGGACCTTGAGGCCCAGGAGGGTGATCGTGGTCGGCGCTGGCGTGGCCGGGCTGGTGGCGGCCAAGGTGCTCAGTGATGCCGGACACAAGGTGAGGGCGCCTGGCACGCAGAGGGTCCGCGCGAGGGCGTGGGGGGCCGGGCCTGAACCCCGCTGCGGAGTACTGGGCGTTCCTGGCCTGCACCCGCTCGCCCAGGGTCTTCCTCCAGCCCCCGGGGAATTTGCTGTAGCTGAGGATGCCCCCCAGCCCAAGGGGGAGTGCCTGCAGCGCCCCGGCTCCAGCCCGGAGCCCCTCTGGAATCCGCCCACTGGACAGGTCCTGGCGGGCCCGGCCCGAGCTCTGCTCCCCACCGCGTCTCCCCCAGGAGCGGACCCCGCCGACGGGACGCGGGGCGCACCACACACGTGTGGCCTCCGCTCTCCCCCTCACCGTTTCACTCACACCCTTGGGCGGGCGTTTTGGGGTGGGGAGCCCCAACTGCAGCTGGAGACAGGACAAGCAGGTGGAGACACAGCCCGGAGCAGGGGAATGGGGCCCGGGTACCTGAGGGCTGCGGTGCCGGTCCCCCTCTGGGAGCAAACGTGGGGCTGGCCTGCAGGGAGAGCCCCTGTGGGGGGAGCGGGGTGCTGTCCCTGTGGGGATGACCCTCGCTGTGCTCCTTAGGGGCCTTCCAGACTCAACAGAAGCCGAAGGGGGCCGGAGTCCTCCTGGCACAATGAGGCGGGGGGCTGAGCGCTAGAAGGGGAGGGGAGGCAGGCGCTAACCCGTCCCCCGCCTGCCCCCCACCTTCCCGGGAGGCCCCGACTCCC